CGCTTGGCAAACGCACAAGGTTACGTAGTCGACGTAGTGCAGGTACCCTCCACAGCCCTGAACTCCCCTAAACCTAAAACCCTAAACCTAAACCCTAAACCCTAAACCCATGGCCCAAGAATTTGGCTCCCAAGATGAGTCCCCAAGGAGCTACGAAAGGGGCACATGGACCACGAGGGACAAACTCGGACAAGGGACGACCAAGTAGGCCGAACCATTGCAACTGCCATTTTCTGATGCAGGAACCCAGGACGAAAACAAGTCAGAAGGTACTGCTGGACCCTCCGAGATGGCTTAAACCCTAAACCCTGAACCCTGAACCCTAAACCCTAAACCCTAAACCCCAAAGTTTCTAGGGGTCTACAGGGTTTGGGGCTGAACGACCCTCGAGGGCCCTCACCTCAGCCGACTTCCCCCTGGAAGGTGAGTTGACAGCCCGAGCCAAGTCCTGCCAAGGTCTGTGGGGTTTAGGGTTGAGGGCTTGGGGTTTCTACAAATTTGAACAAAAACCCTAAACCCTAAACCCTAAACCCTAAACCCTAAACCTTAATGATCAGTCTACTTCTAACCTACTTAGGGGACTTAGCGGGCGTATAAGCACAGTTATCATTGGGGTGAGAAGTACCCATGAACATCCAAGAATGCGCTCTTAATTTGGGTCCCCTGTTTTTTGAACGCTTATGTGCACTATACATTGGGATGTTCCCCCTTGTACCGCCTAGTATAGTTTTGATTCAGGGCTGCTAGTATAAGGCGGAACATCCCAGACTATACACAATAAGGGTCCATACTTCGGATCCTTTCTAACAAGGGTAAGGGACCATGCTACGGACTCATGGTTCCGATTTAGGCAAGGTCTATGCCCAAGGAAGGTTTAGGGTTGGGGGGGGTTGCGGCAAGGTTTATTATTCTACTATTTGCTTAAGAACCCCGCGAAAATCAAGACAATAATCCCTAGACTACCCTGATAAGGAAGACACTTGTGTTTTATAGGGGGCTCTTAAGCAAACAGTAGTTATATTCTATGGCCTGAACCCTAAACCCTAAACCCCTAAACCCTAAACCCCCAAGCCCTCAACCTCGAAGCCCCAGACGCCTAAGCCCCTCTTAACGTCATGTCCCCTGTGAATAGCATGTCATTAGACAATATCATGTCATCAGAAGTGGCGAGCAGGAATTCGCCTCAGAGACTTTGCTCGTATGACTTCGAGAATCACCTCCCCCCCCAAAGCTTGCCATCATCACGCCTTATAAACCCTAAACCCTAAACCCTAAACCCTAAACCCTAAACCCTAAACCCTAAACCCCAAACCCTCCCGGGCCTGCAGGAGCTGCTCCTGCCTCGCGAAGCGGGCCTCCAGAAAGGCCTGTAGGCCCCGAAGCTCCTCCGGTCTATGAGTAGGGTTCCGGGTTCAGGGTTCAAGGTTCAGGGTTCAGGGTTGAGGGTTTAGGGTTTGGGGTTTGGGGTGTAGAGGTTTTAGTTTATGGTTTTGTGTTTAGGGTCTAGGGTTTGGGGCTTAGGGTTTGACTGGGGCGTAAGGGGTTCAGGGAATTCAGAATTGCGGGGTTCAAGGGCGTCACCCTGCATCTCGGGCCTAAAGTCTACAAACTAACTGCTCCTCTGGGAGAGGGCATAAACCCTAAACCCTAAACCCTAAACCCTAAACCCTAAACCCTAAACTACGTGGTCCCGCAGTATGGGCCCTTAGAAGGGGACTCCTTATATTCCGCCTAAATTCCCTTTGCAACCCAAGGGCCCATACTTCAGAACCCTGAAAGGAGGTAAGGGACCAGATTCTAAGGGCCCATGGAACTAGGGCTCGTTTGGGGCATTTGGGGCTGGTACTTGGGGGGTTCATGTTTGGATGTTCCCCTTGTGCTAACCCTAAACCCTAAACCCTAAACCCTAAACCCTAAACCCTAAACCCTAAACCCTAAACCCTAAACCCTAAACCCTAACCCCCTATTATAAACCCTATTAGGGACCGCTAGTATAATGGGGACCATCCCAAGGTTCATGGGTAGTCATAAGTAGGGGGTTTAGGGTTTAGGGTTTAGGGTTTAGGGTTTAGGGTTTAGGGTTTAGGGCTCATAAGCATGCGAACTATACTTATAGACATAACCCTACCTGGGGTACTTCTTGCCTTCTTAGAACTGCCCATGAACCTCCAAGTAGGTTGATGACACTCGAACCGTAAACCGAAGGGGAGGAGGGGGTGCAACCCCAAAAAGCCTTAAACTCATCCACATGATAGCCATAGAAGTTTAAAAACAAACGAAGCCCTAAACCCCTAAAAAAACGATGCCCCAACACCCGAAACCCTAAACTAAAAACAAACGAAGCCCTAAAACCCTAAAGAAGCTCGAAGTGCTGACGCCCTAAACTCCAAACTCAAAGCCCACATCATAACCCTAAGGGTCCATGTACCTAAAATAGGGAATACTTGGGCCTTAAAGCACCTCCTATTTAAGGACTTTACGGCCCAAGTCATTACATACTAATGAGGTACATGGACCCTTGCGGGTAGTTTAATGTCACCCTAAACCCTAAACCCTAAACCCTAAACCCTTTGGCTACTTAGGGTAATGCTCTTGCTTCCCACCCTTTGAGGCACACCTGCGAGGTCGAGACCATCTCTGAAACTGGCTCCATGAGAGGCGCCTGGCTGAAAAGGCTTCAGGTTTAGGGCTTTAGGGGTTTAGGGGTTTGGGGGTTTGGGGTTTTGGGGGTTTGGGGGTTTGGGGGTTTGGGGGTTTGGGGGTTTAGGGGTTTAGGGGTTTAGGGTTGGTTGCTAGGGTTTCGGGCTTGAAGGCTTCGAGTTGAGATGTTCCGCCTTATACGAACAGTCCTCAAAGAAGGATAATGGTATCCCCGACTCCAGTCCCTATCAAGGACTCTTAGCATGAGGGGGGAACATCCCAAGGTTTGCGCCTTGACGGTTTAGAGGGTTCAGGGTTTTGGAAGTCAGGGTTTAGGCTTGGGGAGCTGGGTTGGATTTCGGGTTCCCTAAACCCTAAACCCCAAACCCCAAACCCTAAACCCTAAACCCTAAACCCTAAACCCTAAACCCTGGGGTGCAGGTTGCGGGTTCAGGGTGAAAAGTTTAGGGCTCTATTGGGGTGCTGAGGGTACCTGCAACCCAGAGACTCTTCCAAGCCATTGACTTGCACCATCCGTATCATGCAGTAGTAAGCGGTGACCCTATTAAGCAAAAACAAAACCCGAACTAAGGAAGCCCCTATATCACAATCCTTATTCCTGGAACCCCCCCCCCCCTATAAGGGGTACCCCTATTAAGCAAAAACAAAACTAAGCCCCGAGCCCGAAGCTCGAAAAGCTAGACCCTAAACCCTCAGCCTTAAACCCTGAGCCCCTGTACACCTTGGCGCTCGAGGGGGAAGGGGCCTAGGGCTGGTCATAGGAGTTTCGGATGCTCGCGCGCCCTAAACCCTTGAGGGTTTGAACCTTTAAGTGGGCTGTCTGGGGTTTAGGGTTTAGGGTTTGGGGTTTAGGGTTTAGGGTTTAGGGTTTAGGGTGTAGTTTAGGGTTTAGGGAGCAGCGCCTCACGCCGCACGGCGGCGGAACAGCACTCCATCGCTCGAAGTCGGCGCCGGAGAAACCCTCGACCCTTCAACCCAAGGCGCTTCCTGAACCCTAGACCCTGAAGCCTAACCCTAAACCCTAAACCCTAAACCCTAAACCTTAAACCCTTAAACCAGAACCCTAATTGTACTCTATAGAACTTAGGGTTTAGGGGCGTAAACACTACACCTTAATCCCGGTTGCCATTTGTGCCTTTGGGCCTTCGGATGGGCGTTTGGGGTGCCTAACCCTAAGGGTCCATGTACCTAACTCAGAAACTGAAAGACACCGCGGGCTTCTTGCGTTTAGGGTTTATATTGAATGGCAGGAAGCAGTATACGCAGGCTTAGCCGTTTTCCGACCCTAAAGCCTATACCGTAAGCCCTGAACCGTGACGTGAACTATTCTGAGGCATGGCCCGCATGGCGTGAGGGCGGCGCCAAACAAAATCCGGAGCTTGGAGGTAGTCAACCGGCTTATAGGGTTCAGGGTTTAGGGTGTAGGGTTTGCGGTTCAGGGTTTGGGGTTTAGGGTTCGGGTTGAACTTGTGCGTTCTTGAGGCAGTGCGGATAGCAAGGGGCCTAAACCCTAAACCCTAACTAAGCGTTTCGTCCAGGCAACACTATATATAGATACGGCATTCGAAGGCTCGACTCCTCCTCTCCCCTAGCAGCTAGGGGCTTCCCCTCCACTGCCTACGGGGTTTTGGGTTTAGGGTCTAGGGTTTAAGGGTTTAGGGTTTAAGGGTTTAGGGGTTTAGGGTTTAGGGTTTGGGGTTTAGGGTTTAGGGTTTAGGGTTTAGGGTTTAGGGTTTAGGGTTTAGGGTTTAGGGTTTAGGGTTTAGGGTTTAGGGTTTAGGGTTTCGAGCTCAGGGGCTCCTTGTTGTACTATCTGAGTTTAAGGCACTCACATCACAGCCTGAGCTATGGAAAAAAGAACAGTGGTCTTTTATACTCAGGTAGTTAAGTGCCCTGTAGAGTCGTTGTATAAGAAAGCTGTATAGCTCTAATGACAAAACGTTGGGCCGCATAGCTTCCTGTATCTTTTAGGGGTTTAGGGTTTGGGGTTTAGGGTTTAGGGTTTAGGGGTACCCGGAACCCGAAACCCTAAACCTAAACCCCAAACCAAAGACAAGACGCACCCATGGCCGGCTTACTGAATAAGAGCCCAAAGCATGACCGCTCCTTGTACAGATCTGCCCTAAACCCTGATGCCTAAACCCTAAAAACCCAAAATAGCCATTCTGGCTGGCTTGTCCCTCAACCCTAAACCCTGAACCTTATGCTGCACTCCAATTCTCGCTGAACCCTAAACCCTAAACCCTAAACCCTAAACCCTTAACCCCAATCCCTAAGCCCTAAACCCCAAAACCCTAAACAAAAGGGCCCCCGTATCGAACCAAAAACCTCTGGTTAGCCTCTCGCTTCTGAAAGCGAGCCGCGACTTTCTGGTCGCCTTGGCAAGAGGGGGCGCAAGGGGTTTAGGGTTTAGGGTTTAGGGTTTAGGGTTTAGGGTTTAGGGTGTAGGGTTTGAGGGTTCCAGTAAACTCCAAAAAGCTGGAATATGCTTTTCCCCATACCCCCAAAAGGTACACTAAAGGTAATCCCAGCTCTAATCATCCTGAAAGCATGTTCCAACTTTTTGGAGTTTACTGTACGGTTTAGGGCCTTGGACTAACTTTTGGGATGAGGGCCTCAAGGGCTTGGGGTTTATAGGGTTCGGGGCCAAAACCCTAAACCCTAAACCCTAAACCCTAAACCGTAAACCCTAAACCCTAAACCCTAAACCCCAAACCCTAAACCCTAAATACTAAACCCTAAACCCTAAACCCTAAACCTCAACACTCCCTCTAACGGAGGAGGTCGAGCCGCTGGTGGTGCTCTGAAACTGCCGGAAGCGGATCGGCACTTGATGCCTGGAACAGTCCACTTAGGGGAGGGGGGTCTAGGGTTTAGGGTTTAGTGTTTAGGGTTTACCCTGTAATTACTTGGGGAAGCCCAAAAACCTTAGGTTTTGGGGCTTTTGGGGCTTCTTCGGAAGCAAAAACCGTGTCCTGAGATCGGCGTGACAGGAACAATCTTTGATTGGTCAATTGGGTGGTAAACGAACACAACGTGCAAGTACTGTTTCATGCATCTTAAGTCAAAACCGGCTCTATACGCCCTATACACCCTAAACCCTAAACCCTTTCACCCTGAACTCTAAGCCCTATACACGCTAAACCAGGCATATTGGGCTCTCTGTGTCTGTCATGAAGACTAAAGCAGGCCGCACGAAAGCATCAGAAGGGTCTACTTAGAGGTTCAGGTCGTTAGAAGTAGGGTGTATATGTATGACAACTATACTTATAACCCTACTTAGGGTACTTACGTCCCTTCTTATAACTACTGTACCCATGAACCTCCAAGTAGGGTTTCGGGTTTCGGGCTTTGCAGGTCCTTGGTGTACCTACAGGCCCCAACGTAGTTCCGATTCGAGAAGTATACCCAAGCACGTAGGATGTGTAGGGCTTACCCTAAACCCTAAACCCTAAACCCTAAAGCCTAAAGCCTAAAGCCTAAAGCCTAAACCCTAAACCCGTAGGACGCATTCCCTTCTTTGCAGTGGTGGCTGTAGACCTTACACCCTAAATCTAAACCCTTAGGCCCTTGTGATCGTGGGGCCGAAGCCGGTAGGTTTTAAAGTTTGAAGTTTAGGGAAACCCTCAACCCTCAACCCTCAACCCTCAACCCTCAACCCTCAACCCTCAACCCTCAACCCTAAACCCTAAACCCTAAACCCTAAACCCCTTTTGTGGTTTGGGGTTTCGGGCAGTACTCCTTGCAGTTTGACAAATCTTAAACCAACTCAAGGCCTGGGAGCTCACCCCTTTTCCATCAAAAAACTGAAACCCCCAAACTTATTGTTTCTTTAAGGGTGGGTTTAGGGTTTAGGGTTTAGGGTTTAGGGTATAGGGTTTAGGGTTTAGGGTTTAGGGTTTAGGAGTTTCAAGGGTGGTAGGCAGCACAAGGTCCCCTCATTTCTCCCCACTCCCTAAGGCTCCCTAAGCTTCCCTAAGGTTCCCTAGGTACCTATCCCCCCATGAACCCATGACCCCAAAAAAAAACCTGGACCTTCCGCCACACGCTCTAAGACTTCATGCTTCAAGCCCGAAACCTTAGTTCAACCCTAAACCTTAACTAAACCCAAAACCTGAATAAACCCTACGAAGCCGCATACCTTAGTTGAGCCCTAAACTTTGTAACCCCTGTGAACCCTACAACGCGCGAAACTCTCCTACCCTAAGGGTCCATGTACCTAAATGGTATATACTTGGGCTTGAAGGGTTTCCTAGTCAGTAGCTTTAGAGCTAAACCCTAAACCCTAGGCCCTAAACCCTAACAGCATTCTATACGGGTGCATGGACACTCCTTCCTAGTTCTTTGAAGGGAATTCCCTACTTCCCCCTACTAAGAACCACCAGAAGCCGCACCCTGAAGTCTTAGGGTTTAGGGTTTAGGGTTTAGGGTTTAGGGTTTAGGGTTAAGACTCATCCCAGACGATACGTTCATGACTGAAAGCCCTAAACCCTAAACTTCCGCCTAAACCCGAAAGGTTTTAGGGGTTAGGATTTAGGGTTTAGGGTTAAGAAGTCTTCGTGAGGGTCAGGGTGCGGGGAGTCAACAGGTTGTTCTTCCTTACATAGGGCATAGGGCTTGGGTTTAGAGTAGGGTTTAGCTCATACGGCATACATATACACATATACCATATAAATATAATTTATATATATATATGTGTGTGTGTGTACGTACATATATATATGTACATATACAGGGAGATGAGAACCCTAAACCCTGAACCCTGAACCCTAAACCCAAAACCCAAAACCCTAAACCTAAGATGGGCGATACAGAACACAAATGAGGATTGCATTTGCCTCATATTGCGGGAACATTTCCTTACGCCGGGCCTGGCCTGAACGCCAGCTTCAAACGCTGCTTGTTCAGCGGCACCTTATCGATGGCTCTACGGTTTGGGGTGAAGGGCTATGCTCAGTGTACTGTGTGCATAAATCTGGCTTGTACTTAAGCCCTAAACCCTAAACCCTAAACCCCCAGTCCCAGCTCTGGCCAGCACAGGAGAACCCCAAAGCCCAGGCTTTCAAACCCCAAGCATCAAGCAGGGAGCTCCGGTTTATGTGACATGGGGTTAGTAGAAAGGAGCCCGCCCTACTTACGTATAACCCATCTTAGGTTCAGCGTTTAGGGTTTAGGGTCTAGGGTTTATGGTTTGGGGTTTAGGGTGTACTACTCATAACCAGACTTGGGGGGGAGGGGACACCCTCCCTGTATTAGTTGCAGCCTGAGGGCCATAGGGTTTACGACTTGAGGAAACGGGGCCCATCCTCCGAACAGTGACTCCCCTTCTCTGCCTCTTATATACCCTATACAACCCCAGGGCTCAGACTTCGGAACCCTACAAACCCATAAAGAAGGTAAGGGACCAAATTAAGGGATCATCTAACTACCCTTCATGCCCCCCACCTCCAGCCTTATTTAGGGGTCTTAAAAATTCGAAAAGGTTCTTATGGGACAAAAAAATATAAAAGGGAATCCTATAAGGGAATACTATAATAAGGGAATACTACAAGGAATTACTATAAGGGAGTACTAGACATAAGGGCATACTATAAGGGAATACTAGACATAAGGGAATGCTATAAGGGAATACTATAAGGGAATACTATAAGGGAATACTACAAAGGAATACCATAAGGGAATGCTATAAGGGAATACTATAAGGGAATACTATAAGGGAATACTAGACATAAGGGAATACTATAAGGGAATACTATAAGGGAATACTATAAAGGAATACCAGAAGGGAATGCTATAAGGGAATACTATAAGGGAATACTATAAGGGAATACTATAAGGGAATACTAGACATAAGGGAATACTATAAGGGAATACTATAAAGGAATACCATAAGGGAATGCTATAAGGGAATACTATAAGGGAATACTATAAAGGAATACTATAAGGGAATACTATAAGGGAATACTAGACATAAGGGAATGCTATGAGTAATCATTCCGACCCCTGCGCTTTTTTCCGCGCAGTTCATGGCGTCGGTCCCGGCACCATGGCTGCTGGCCTTGGCATTCTGACCCTAAACCCTAAACCCTAAACCCTAAACCCTAAACCCTAAACCCTAAACCCTAAACCCTAAACCCTAAACCCTAAACCCTAAACCCTAAACCCTAAACCCTAAACCCAAACCCAAAACCCCAAAACCCCTAAACCCCGAAACCCGAAACCCCTAAACCCCTAAACCCTAAACCCCAAACACTCAACCCAGAACCCTAAGCCGCTTAGGTTTGCGCCACTGTTGAGAACCCGAGGCTTCCCCATTCCCTTTTTGGAGGGGTTAGGTTCCCTCTCAAAACCCCTGTGAGCAAAACAAGCATAACTATCATGAGACAGACACACATCTCGCCAATCTACCTAAAAATTGTCAGCAATTACATACTCATCGCTCTAGTCATGAAGCCAGTTTGCTAGAACAAGAACGTGCTTGTTGTTTTGGCTTTTGTGTATCGAGTTGTTTATTTTGTTGCCTGCTTGCCAATTCTGTGCGTACGTTTGTATTTGAATCCTGTGCAAGATTCTCGACACTTGTATGTTGAAGTCACTAATTACACTTTGGCAACCCTAAATCCTGAACCCTAAACCCTAAACCCAAGGTGACCGTACGTTAAGACTGATTTTGTATGCCATGTTGTCTTGTCAGCTGTGGCCCATATGGGCTTGCAGTCCTTGCATGCGCTTGCATCTGCTTTGAGAGAAGAAAACCCCTGAGCCCTAAACCCTAAACCTCAAACCCTAAACCCCCAAACCCTAAACGCTAAACCCTCAACCCTAAAAACAAACCCTAAACCGCCACACCATAGACTTGGAGCTTGGCTGGATGTATTGGCTTTCGTGTTCTTTGTCAATCGGGTTGTGATGCTCGGCAGTCTGCCTAGAATTTTCAGTCCTTGCATGCATTCATACATCCTAAGGGTCCATGTACCTAAATAGGGAATACTTGGGCCTTAAAGTACCTCCTATTTAGGGACTTTAGGGCCCAAGTACACAATAATAAGGTACATGGACCTTTAGGGACACATCTTTTGTGCAGCATTCTGCACACCTTAGACTTGAAACGTAAACCCTAAACCCTAAACAAACCAACTTGTTGCAGGTGTTGACTTCAGTGTCCTTGTCTCGGGGGGGGGGGGGGGGGTTGTTTTGGCAGGCTGACTTCTAGTCGTTCTCAGTCCTTACATGCGTGTGTATCTGTCTTGAGCTGAAATTGCGCTACGCCTTCGAGAGTGAAGCTTGCTTTACTTGGTCGACTGCTTGCCACTGATGTTCAGTTCTTGCATGCATCTGCATCTGCTTCGCGCGCAACATTCTCTACACACTAAACTTGAACCCCAAAATTTAAGCCCTAAACCCTACAGACCCGAACTCCCTGAATCCCTGAAACCGTATCCCAAACAAACTCTAGCGTCTCGACAAGTGTCAAAGAGGCAGGGAGAGGAGAAGCCTGGAACCGCGCTTGAGGGCGGATGCCTGTCGATTTGTGTGTTTAGGGTTTAGGGTTTAGGGTTTAGGCTTTAAGGTTTAGGGTTTAGGGTTTAGGGTTTCTAAACCCCTTTCTCCTTCTTAAAGACATCAAGCTATAAAGGGCATGGTGGAAGTTATGGGAACAAGGACACCCCCTGATACCTCGCAGTAAAGGTATGTCCCAGACTCGGGTCCCCCCAACGTACCCCCAAAATTGAAATACGATATTCCTTGTTCTCGAACTGTCCCAAAACGAGGAAACCCCTAAACCCTAAACCTGCAAATGCCCACATCTACTATTTGCTCCAAAAAAAAGGAAAACAAAAACATGAACAAATAAGATAACACTCCCTAGGGTTTAGGGCTTAGGGGTGTGTTTTTCGGGAGCGTTCTTAAGCAGACAGTAGGTATGAGTGCCTTCATAAAATTTATAGGCCTGCACAGACCGAGGTAGAACTGTGCAAGCGGGGACCTGGGGTGTGGGGATTGGGCTTCAGGCAGGGGGTTTAGGGTTTAGGGTTTGGGGCTTAGGGTTTAGGGTTTCGGCCCAGATGACAATACTTTAGCATACCTAAGGCATGCGCTGTACTTTCAGCCCAACTTGTGGTCACCGCAACACCTGGGGTAGGTTTGGGGCCCGATAAAAACTAATTCGTTTATGGCTTTGAGGATGATATGGGTTAATTGAAATAATCGTAAAAAATAGGTCGAAACCTACGTACCCCTGACACCTACTTATAACTAACGAACATCTCCCTGCAATGCAGCTGAACAGCCTGGAGTTCTGCATCCCTCTTTTGCCCCGAGTCGCTGCGAGTGTTCGACGTCCGCAGACATTGCGGTGCACCATTGCCAAGCTGCATGTGGCAAAGACAATAATATCTTGAATTCATGATCATGGAAAACAGCAGCCAGCCCCCCCCCCCCCCCCCCCCCAAAGTGAATCGTCATTGCTGTCTCCCTGTGTGTTTAGCCACAAACCGTAGGGGTTTAGGCTTTAGGGTTTAGGGCCACAAACCCTAGGGGCCTAGGGTTTAGGGTTTAGTTGGGGCATACACATCCTCCTTGCCACAGGGTAGAAGAGCTGGCTGCGTTGATCGGCAGACGGTGCCTCTCGCCTTGGGGACCAAAGCCAAATTGAACCCTAACATTGGGGTCATAATATTACCCTATACGACATAATTCATTAAGGTATAATTCTGGAGTTACTACTGCGATTCCCATAAAGGAACATGCGACCTAATTGCAAGTCCTAGTAAGGTATAATTTGAACCCTAAACCTTAAACTTTAAAACCCTATAACCCTATAACCCTATAACCCTATAACCCTATAAAATCCTAAACCCTAAACGCTGAACCCTAACAAACCTCTTAGGGTTCATGTAGTCCCCAGGGTATTGCGTGCAGAGATTATACGGGATGGAGCCCTGATCCCTGTGTTTTGGCACTCCTCCTTTTCAAGAACAGGCAGCCTTTTTAGGGGTTTAAGGGTTTAGGGTTTAAGGGTGAAGGGTTTAGGGTTTAGGGTTCAAGGGTTTAATGGTTGAAGGGCTTAGGGTTTAAGGGTTTAAGGGTTCAAGGGTTTAAGGGTTTAAGGGCTTAAGGTTTTGAAGGGTTTAAGGGTTTAAGGTTTTGAAGGGTTTAAGGGTTTAAGGCAAGGGCTTAGGCATTTATGGTTGGGATGTTCTCCCTTATAATAACAGGCCTTAATAGTGATTCTAGTACCGCGCAAGTATAATCCCTATAAAGGACTGTTAGTAGAAGGGGGGAGCATCCCAAGGTTTAGGGTTTCGGAGAGGCATTCCCCTAAACCCTTACACCCTCACACCCCTAACCCTTAAACCCTACCCTGGACTCAGACACGAAACCACAACCCCGAAAGCCTTTTTTGTGTTTACTTAGCTGACCCTAAGCCGTAAACCCTTCCCTGGTTTAGCTGAGCTTTTCCGGGACCCTAACCTTATACACAGAGAAGGGAACGACTGGGTATCCTAAAAGGCACACCACATCGTGGTTTAGGGTTAGACCGTTGGACCCCCAGCCCTGAACTCTACTGTAAATCTCTGCTCCAAGGGCTTCTGGTGAATGGAGGCAGTGCCAATTCACGACCTGCATGAAAGCATGCTGCACCACGTGCAGGGACTCAAAGCATAGTACATTTGGGGGACTACGAAAATAAGGGGACCCCTAATATATAGACCCCCCCAAATAGCAGAATTCCCTTTATTATTTAAAGAGGACCCCAAGAAGGTACCCCTAAATTCGTAGACCCCCATTTCTCGCCTGTGGTCCAAGGATTCCAGCGGCCACGTGCAACGCAGGTAAGCGATTTGGCAGGCCGGAAACCTTGGTTCAATATGAGAGGATAGGGTTTAGGGTTTAGGGTTTAGGGTTTTTGG